GGTAGATAGATTGATAGATAGATGGATAGATTCGGTCATTCGTAGGTAGGTGGGTGGGTAGGTAGGCAGGTAGGTAGATAGATAAATAGCTATCTAGCTAGTTCGCCAGCTGGCCAGCCACATAGGTAGCAGGCAGGTGGTAAGTAGGCAGGTAGGTAGGTAGGATAAGATAAGATTGAGTTTGATGTAGGTTAGATTACACTAGCGTGGAATGAGCTGGATTAGATTAACAGGAGGATAGACCGAATTTTTAGCACTCGCGCTCGACCAGGTCAGGCGAGGTGTACAGAAAACCACCATGCGCGACAGAGTTCGGCATGTAATTACATACTTCGCAACTGTCGGCATTCCGCAGCAACTCACCTAGCAAAGCCGGAGATAGTGTGTTTGTTTCACAACCAGCCACTACGCCACTACCATACACATCGCGCGCATCACTTCGCCGCATGTCGCCGCGGCATGTCAGTACCACCATAGCTCGCCATATCTGTTCACTCCACTGGTCGTACTGCATGTGCAGTTTTGCACCTTCTGTAGGGCATCAGGACTAGTGCGATCGCCTTGTACCTTCTTAAACCTCGAACAACCGTACCTTCATGCTAAGAGATCCCCACACAGTGCGACCCAGCTGTGGGCTCCAGCCTAGCACGACCGGGTCGGTGGTGCACAGAAGTTCCACGAAGCCTTTGGCCGCGGGGGTCCGGGAGTGTCGCACGGCAAGTTTGACAAGCGTGCCTGTTCCAGTTGCCTGCCGGGTCTGAGTGAGGGTTCTTGAACACGCATGAAGTCTGCAGCACGGAGATGTTTCACCAAGTCGGTCTGGTCAAGAGCCCCCTTGCGATCTTCTTTTTGTCAGGGTGTGAGCTGCTTTCCCTCCAATCTCGGCCATGCTCAAGGTGTTGCAGCTCGCAGCCCAAGAATACGACACCCGCACGATATCCCACGATGCTCCGGGTCCCAGGCCGAGAGGAGGCACAGACAGTCTCTCTCGCGCCGACTGGAAGTCAGTCCTCAGCCGAATCCAAGAGTTCACGAGTGCCTCAAACCGCGTCGGTGCTTGTGCTGTGCCTTGGTGCCTCAGAGGACCTCAGAAGTGCTTTTTTGCCCCTTGTCAACTACATCGCTCCAGCGAAAATTCGTCGGACGTGGTCAGCACTGCTGGAAGACAGCATGCATCGTGGGTCCGCGGCGGCGTAGCATGCAAGTTCTCAGTCGCAAGCTCGTCCGCAGACCCGCGCATCACCAGGACGACCTCCATGGAGCAGGCAAGGGTCGAGTTCTTGCAGGGAGGACCCTTTCGCTCCTCCTGGCTCTGGAGCAGCTCACCGGCAAGGCGACCGACCACGGCAGAAGCGTGGGCACGGGAATGGCCTTGATCACCGTCGGATGTCGTCGGGCTTGGGATTCTGTCGGCCACTGTGGGTTTTAAGAGCTCCAGGGTCAGTGCCATGCTGCGGGAAGCAGTCGCCTGGCTTTGGCTTAGCAGAGGCTAGGGGCAAAATCCGACGACATGATGTCTGTTTTTTGCTGAGTTTCCGAACTGACAGGATGGCTGAGTTTGGGGCATGCGGTCGCAACGACGGGAGCTGAGATTGGCTTGCCCGCCTACCATCCAAACACTCGTCAAGCCAGCAAAGCAGTGAGACCAAGACTACTAAGACTGCTGTAAAACAGAATCCAGAGGAGCCGCGAGTTTCGAAACTGCGATGCGAAGCTAGTGGCAGCTAGTGTAGCTACATATGCAATAAGCCCGCCCTGCCTGCTCCGGTTCCGGACCCTTCCCGCTCAAGTGCGCCGGAGGGGAGCCGGAAAGAAGAGACTGCAAACCTGGACCGGCGCGGTGAGAACTTGGTTTCAAGATGGTTGTAACATTGCTTTTACAAAGTCTACCAGAAAAGCAAACGGACGTCTGAAGTGCCCAGAAGCATGGCAGCATGGGTGGGGGCCATGGCCTCAGGTCCTCCTCCAGGTGGAGGAAGGGCCAAGTGGCGGTCAAAGGACCGTGCGAAGCAGATTTTCGAAATTGGCGCCGGAGGTAGGGCCCGAAGCACAACCTTGTGGAAGCAAGCCTGCTCTCTACTTCCTCAGCCATAACATGACTAATCACATGTCGTAATCTGACTGCACCATGCGCCTGTTAAAGCTAAGCAAACCACCTATTGAAAGCAAGCAAGATGCGACCTGGAAACTGCAGAAGGAGGGCTACGGCCCCCGATCGGCGCACCACGAAGAGGTGGTGTCGGTGGCCCTGCAGATGATGCAGCCACAGCTGCAAGGAAGCCTCGAGGCCCTCCTGGTCCCTCTGTCCAGGGCCACGCACCTTGGTACCAGAGATTCCGGCTTCCGGCTCACCACACGCCAGCATTTCTGTCTTTGCTCCGTTGCGTCCCCTTCGAAAGCAAAGGCATCCAAGGCACCGAGCAACCGAGGAGCAGTCGCAGGGTGAACATGTCCAGAGGGCAAGGCCGATCCAGAAGAATGGCGCAGCCGCTGCTCAACAGAAGCTCGCGTGCGACATCTGCAAAGCCCAAGCCAGCAGCGTCTTCGAAGACGATTCTGCAGAAGTGGCGACAAAAGACGGTTTCGGAAATCCGTACACACTGCGTCAGTTGGCGCACATGCATCAAGCTCACGTGGCATGTGCCGCCATGTGTCAAGGCGGACAGCTCGGGTTGGTCGCTGCTCGTCTCCACATGCTTTGGTGCGGATGTAGCAGCTTTCGGCTCCTAGGAGATGCTCTGCAGAACTCCAAACTTGCAGGAAGGGACCGGTGCAGCTTGGGGCTGGACAGGTTGACAAGTTTGATTGATTGACTTCTTCCCAACGAATTGACAGGATCACCCCTGCAAACTGACAGCTGCAAACTCTGCTTAATGATGAGTGGAGTCCCTCGTCCCTCTACTGAAATCAGGTGGAGTGCATGCTCAGGCATACAGACATAGCCTGACTTGAATTTGCCGATATGTCCTTTCAAACCCTACTTCGCGACTCGCTCAGCCATGTAGGAGGCAAAAACCCCTGCAAATTTCGACAATCTCATCATATGTTGCCATTGGTGGCTCACTAAATTGGCAGGCCCGGGCACGGTTGGCAGATGTAGTTTCAATATGCTCGGCTTATCCGGCCACAACCAGAAAGATTGATGCACAGCGAAAGCTTTCGAGCGAACCAGCTCATCAACCACAAGCCAATGTCATAGAAGGGCACAGCAAGGACTGCGGAGAGAATGCCTTCCCCCACACACAACGGTGTTCCTGTCCCATGCGGCAACTCCCTTGCAGCCTTGCGGCAGCAGCTTTTGTGGCAGGCCACGGCTTTGGAGCCTCGGAGTCCAAGTCTCCAAGGGTGTCCCGACGAGTCCGTATTGCCCAGTTTCCGTTCTCTCGGTGTAAGCCAAGCTCACAGACTCAGAAGCAGAGATGTTGGACTCAATAAGCTCGCCGCAATCTTTGGCTCCTGCAAGTTCAGTGGGCTGGCTCTTCAAGCTGCGAGCCTTTTCAAGTCTCCTGCACCGGATCCTTGGTGCCCGGGATGAGGCCAGCTTCCGGCTCCTGCGCTGCCGATTTGGGGGCTCGAGGCTGGGTCGCATTGGCTTCTTTGGCTCCAAGATGTATCCACTTATCAGAAGACCAGGTCCAAATCCTTCCTACTCGATCTACTACACATACCAGCTGTCCCTTACAACATTAGACAACCACAGGGTACCAATTTTAGATTGCCACTCTTTTTAGGGCCATCCTCCAAGGGAATCTGAGACGGAGCTCTTGCAAGGGCTTGGGTGTCGGGTCTGCAGGAGCTTGTCGGGGTGAATGCACCTTTCGCCCGGCAACTCTGAACTACTTCGTCACAGCCGAAGACATCCCTGCCTTCGTTCTTGGCGCTGCAGCTTTGGCGAGCGCGGGGTTCGACCAGGTTGACTCGCCGGTCGCTCGGTTGTGGAAGTACCTGGAGCTTGGGAGTTCGACGAGAGTCGGGTTCAGGCATGCATTTGGGCAGCGCAAACTTGAGAGCTCCCAAAGGCCTCATCTAGCACAATGCAAGCGAGATGCATCCGGCCGGTCTTGGCATCTTTGTGCTCGGACCAATCGGAGAGATTGGCTGTGGCCTTCTACATGGCATGGAAACAGAACTTGAGCGCAATCAGCGGCGAGCGACCGTACAGGATTTCAAGCTAGCACGGCTATATATTTGATGGGCGTGCTCTGGTGCCTGATCCTCCTTCTTCCCCTCATGCTTGTTGTCTGGGTGTGCTGGCGGCGGTGGAGGGTGCTTTGGGGGTGGAGGGGGTGGCGGGGGAGGTGCTGGGGGAGGTGGGAGATCCGGAGGCCTGGTGGGAAGGGGTGGGAGGAGTGGTGCTGACTCGAAGACTTCTGGAGCCGTGCTCAATGCAGGCGGCAGTGGTGGGATCGCCACCAGTGGCGCGGGCGCACCTGGCAGTGCGTGCACTGCCGTGCTCACGTGTTGTGACCATGCTAGCAATGCTAAACCATGCCCCCAGTGCTAGGAGCTGAGCGACAGCAAGCCTTGCTAATCCTAACAAGGCTTCTCTTCACGGTCCCTGAGACATGCCCCCCGAACTGCTGCAGCTCTCTAAAGGGCCTCCTTTGGGCTTGGCAGAAGACGCAGAGGCCTTCGGTCGGCGTCGCAGCTGCGGTGCTGCTCGCTTTGCATAGGGAGGGCTTGTTGGCAGCTTAGACGTCTAATGGTTGTTAGCTTCTGCTATCTTTGAGACTTTGCTGACCTGTGGAGGCTTTTCTTTAATCTCAACTCGAAGCCTTCACCATCTAGGAGGTTGCTGCGGTTTGGTTGTCAGCATGAAATCCACCACTGCCTGAGACTGATACATGCAGGGTGATTTAAGTTTCGGGGTGTTAATATGACGTGACTGCACAGGAAGCGCTGGGAGAAGCAAAGCTACATCGCAAAACATGAGAGATTTCTGAGGACCAAAGCCACGATGCCCAGCTAAGCCTCTGAGGACGCGTGCCTTGGGCTTTGCAGCTGGAGTAGCAGGCGGAGGACCCAGCACCTGGTCTCATCTTCGAGGGGCTTCATGAGAAGTGCACGACAGGCCTCACCGGAACCAAGCGTGTCACTTCGTGAGATTCCTGAGCAGGAGCTGAAGCTGAGGTCCCCGGCTGCCGTCAGCGCCAATGGCAAGCCTTTTGAGGCGAGTGCCGCGGCCAAGGAACCGTACCTAGACTGCAGTTGCACAAACCCGGCAAGCCTATGTTTGACTTCCTTTTTGCTCTCTTCGTCAGAAGGCCAAGTGAAATTCTGTAACGAGGAACAAGGTTCGTTGGTGTGAGGCCCGGCCAAACACCATGGGAGACTACAGGGGCCCAGAGCCGCTTCAATTAAACTGCTTGGCCCCAATGGTCGCAAGCAAAGCCGATAGAACGGGTCGAAGGCCCATCGCGGAGGAGGGCAAAGCATGGGTCTCGCAGACTCAGTCCTGCCTGCTTGCTGACCTGGGATGCGCGAGCCAGGTCCCCGGCAAATAAGGTGGGGTCTTGCAGTCGGTCTTTCCGACACCCTCTCTTCTCATGAGGTCACCGCAAAACCATCTGGCAGATATGAAGGCCGACAGTTGATCCTTACTCTCTCCATGCTTGACAGGCCACCTTTCCCTGAGGTGCTGGACAGCATGCTGGAGCATCGCAATTTCCTCGTCCTGCACCAGGAGAGCAGAAGACTCGATACGCAACCGCCATAACGAGCTCGACTTAGCACTTCCTAAATCATAGCTTCGGCGTCAAGGGCTGGAAGTCGAGTGCCTGGAGAAGGCCCAGACAGCACCCCCCCCACCCCCCTCTGCCCAAGGCCAAAGCCCGGAGGGTGCCAGGAGACCCCAGGCTTGGAGGCCCAGGCCTGAAGCTTTCGGGTAGAACTAAACATGTTGCATACTTTCATGTCATAGATCCGAATGTGCATTTCCCAATCCATCTGCGACCATATGGTGAGATCCCGGGATGAGCCGCTGAAATATGCGTGAAAAAGTCTCATAGCTCGGGCAGTGGCGGTTTGTAAGTATGTGAGTGTATGTGTGTGTGTGTGTGCCGGTATGTTTTCTTGCAATGCCTTAGAGCAGACAGATGTGTTGTTGTAAGTTGGCTGATATTTACACGGATAGAAACCCGAAACGTCGGCGCATATGTATACATACATATATATATA